ACAGTGTCTAGGAGAAGGCCGATAGTGCGTCTGTTAGATACACCTATCGTGGATAAACGAAGGCCCTAGTGTGCGTTTATTCACAACCCACGTATAGATAACAACACGATCATTCATCAGCGGCACACGACGTACGCGGCAAGCGCCAGCTGCCCGCCTGCTTACGGGTGCACCTGCGTGCTTGCGGCAGTGGCCTGGCAGCATCCCGACTGTCGTGACCCGGCACCATGCTTCGGTTTCTCCCGACAACTTCCTCGACCCAACGGCACATCTTACGACCAACTTTTTTTTTAAAATTTTTTGGAGTCCAATATACCATTTTTCAACATAAAAAAAAAAAAATAGGCTAACAATAATTTATAACAATCCCATTTTTCTCAATTTATTACCTAAGGTAGATGGCTCCATTTTAAACCAAATCTTAAGGCATCTAAAACCAAATATTGTCAGGCTAAAAACAACACAACAGCAGCTTAACATAATAAGAATTGCAGCCTGATCAATTTTTCTTTCGGAAATAAATGCTCCACATGCATGGCAAAAAGGTTTTGATTTTATTTAATTGCACTTAAAGGAGAATTGAAAGAAGGCCATTTGCATGATAATTTATAACCTTAGAACCATTATCTTAACTGCTGCAACACATAAACTTATATTTTCGCTTAATCTCGCTTACAGCAAATTAAAGAAAAATGTTTCTCCTGCCAACAATTAAGTTCACGACTTCAGAGTTTAACTGGCAAGAATCCGAGAGTTCAACATCTATCCCTACTACTTCAAAATTCATGATCTTCTAATTTACAAAATTCTCTTTTCATGAATTTAGCTCATTCTCATCTTACGAACCTTAAGGATGAAATAGCCTTCAATTTTAAATCTGAAATTTAAAGAGGGAGGTATGGTCTTATACCTCCTTCGGGAATGAAACTGAAACGAAAATCTGAAAACGAAGAGTTTCAGACGTCGGGTTTCGACCTCGGCTCTTACGTACAACTGCTGTTCGTCGTTCGAGTGAAAAGGAGAGGCCTGCTGCTGCTATGTGAAGACCCGCTGCTGCTCGGAAAACGGACTACGGGGCTGAAAATCCGGCGAAACGGTGAATGGGGCTGCTCGAAGGTGTACTGCTCGTCGATCGAACGAGGGAGATGGTAAAGTTGCTGCTGCTGCTCCCAGGTTCTGCTGGCCGAAAAACGGACCAACGGGGCTGCTCGACGGGTTGCTTCCCCTCTCGAAGATGGACGGTGATGGATAAAAAAATTAATGGAACCCGCTGTTGGATGATAGAACGGCTTGAGAAAATGAGTTGCGGGAGGAAGAAAAGAATTCTGATCGTGCTTATGGCTTCTGATCGTGCGCTGAGAGATAAGATATTATAGCGTGAAATTATGAGAAATTATCTGGAGTAGTTGAAAGAAAGGTTCAAACTTCCACAATTTTTGGAGTTAAGTGCGTATAGGCTGGGAGCAACGAAAACTGATCTTTAAGGTTAATAAGTATCTTCTTTATCCCATTTATAAATAAATAAATCAAGAACATTTAGATAATAATGGGAAGGCTTGATAATTAAAATGGCCCAAAATTATAAGGCTAATATTCGACCCGCATAATTCTAAGGAGTCGAGAAAGTAAATCAACGACGCTGAAGATGACTAAAAATAAACGGCTCTCGCTAGACTGGAAACTTCTAATATTCGGCTAAACATTTAAATAATTTAAATAGACTAAAAGGCTAAATAAATTATTTATCTCAAATGATCAAAATAGACACTCACGTCTAATTAATCAAAGTTACTGGTCGAGCTGATAAAATAAAATGCAATAAAATGCATAATATAATAATACTTCGAGATGTGAGATGTCTACTGAAATAATATCGGGGCGTTACATATTACCTTTATTAGCTGCATGGTTTAAATTTGATATATAATACATTAAAAAATAAAAATAAATTTTTTATTAAAAATAAAAAAAAATAATTATTCATAACTTACGGGTCAATATTAATTTGGATGTAAACGAAATAGTCAATTATTTATAATTTAATAAATTACTCAACTACTTAATTTTTTTTTTATTTGAATAGTTTATACAAAAGTAAATTATTTTAAGTAGTGAAACAATATGAATTTTATATTTTTATGTATTATTCATATAGGTTGTTAAATATATGATACAATTTTACCAAAATAACTATTTTATGGAATCGCATTATAGTCAAATCGGATATCCGAATAAAATTTTGAAATGAACTTATCAGAAACGAATATAATAAATTTATTATCAGCTGGTTGTGTAATTTTAAATAGACATTTATTTTTTATAATTTTGCACAATCTAAACTTTATATTACATTTTCTATAAACTAATATAAGTAAATTGTATTACATACTGATTCTATATTTTTAACTTATAAATATTATTTAATAAGAATTCTTAATTTATAAAATATTAATGAATATCTCTTACCAGTGCATAGCACGAAATTCATACTAGTTGAACAATTTATTATTAACAAATTCACTCATGACAAAAAAATGTTAATCTATATATACGGAGATAATATGTGATGTGTGGAGTAAAACACAAAAAAATAAATAAAATATTCCACAATACTTTTAAGAGTAGTGCTATAAAGCCAACTTGAGTTACAACTTGGATTACAACACCATTGTAAACACATTATTTAATAATTTCTTGATAATACATTTACACTAGAGTTGTAATCCAAGTTGTCACCCAATTAGCCAAATAGCATTATTCTATTTTTAATTGGTCGACTCAAACATTCCACCATCGTAGTAATAAGAAAACAACACCGGAAGCAATTACATTGTTGCTTAATTATGAGGTCCCACTTTTTGTGTTACTGTGGTGTCATTGGATGACTCGGCTTATGGAGTCATCCATAGTTATTCACAAATAATGTATTGACATGTGTCCTGCAATAAATACATATTAGACACATGTCAGTAAATAAAGTCATTGATGACTCCATAACAGGAAGCATCCGATGACTCCATAGAATTTCTGGTCCAACTTCATTAATTAATTAAGAGTCAAGGGCACATCAAAACTCACAAAAACACATTACTTATATATTGATGATATAGAATTTTACATGTTACTACAAGATGATGAATATTTATTGTGGTTAAATTTTAATCAAAACCTTGTACAAGTACTAGGTAGATGCTTTGTGGGGGTGACAGAAAATTTAATGCTAGTGCTGATTGTACGCATAATCTGGGAATTTTTTTCTTTTAACTTTTTTAATCTCAAGATGCTGATCAAGATTTGGACAAGGGATACGCTGGCTCATTGCAGCTTCAGATTCTTCAGAAGCCTGCTGACATCATTCAAATACAGAGATCAATCAATTGGTTATTGAGTTCAGCTAATTAAATACTCATATATGTATATATACACACACATAGACACAACCTATTTACCAAAAATAGTAATAAAAAAGTCAATCAGTATTTATTACATTCTATTTTTAGCAATTTTTATTTTTTTTAAATTATTCATTAAAAAATCAATCAGCTATATATACACTTTAAACTCATGGATTTTGTAGATTTAATTTAGGTAAATTTCGTCTGAAGTTTACAATTATGCAAAAGTCAAAATTCTTTCTCATTTTTATTAAAAAAAACTGATTACCACAAAATTGAGAATTTCGAATTGGTTAAAATACTATCACATATATTTTTTACTAATTGCAACGGATTAATTGTTTATTAATAAAATCGGAGTGCATAGAAATCGGTTCAAATTATATAAAATTGGCATGAAAAATTTTGTAAAAGTGAAAATTCTCTCATTTTTTATTGAAAAAAATCGTTTACTACAAAATCGGGAATTTCGAATTAGGCAAAAATCAAAATACTATAATATGTATGTTTACCTAATTGCAAGATATCATGTTTATTAAAAGAAATTCAGATTGCATAGAAATCGGGTCCAATTTTAAATTGAAAATTAAATTTAAAAATCTTTTATCATTTTGATTGTTACTTTGTTTAGTGTAATTTTTAAAATATAAAATAGAGTCAGAATATTAATTTGCAATTCAAAATGAGATCATATTGGAACATCCTAAAAATTTTGGTTTTATTTAATCCTCTATAATAAAAATTTGAAATTGATTGCATACGTTTACAAAATAAATAACAATTGCATATATATATATATATATATATATATATTGCTAAATAAATAATTGATTTATTTAAGCATATCTCGAATGTTAATATAATTTATGGTGATAAACGATGTACCAAAAGATCAAACCAATAATGTTGTATACAAGGATGTTTTTTAATTATATAAAAGTTACATTTTGTTTATTCTAATACATGCGTTTTACGTTCTTTCACTCATCCAAATTTAAATGATTACCTTAATAAAACTAGCTTGTGCAATGTACAAGGATGTTTTTTAATTATATAAAAGTTACATTTTGTTTATTCTAATACATGCATTTTACGTTCTTTCAATCATCCAAATTTAAATAATTACCTTAATAAAACTAGCTCGCACAGGTATCGCACTAGTTATGATTATCACAAACACGTTAAACCACCAATTTTTTTTATTTATTTTTTATTATTTTTGTTTTCAACTTGGCTGCTTGTTTTGTGATGGAACTTATAGAAAATTATAATACGTGGCAGGTTAGGCATGTGCTATAGTGTCTAAAACAAGTAAGATTATATTCTCTCTTATTTTTATTATTTGTCACTTTGGCTTAATAGATTATGATTAAATAAATGTCGTTTTAGTTATTTTATTCATATTTTTTCATTTTTAACCCTCCATCAATGCACAGTGTCTCTTCATATCTCATCTCCATAGTTTCCCATAATATTCGTTAAATAGGGTTAATATGGACAAGAAAAAAAATTATTAACTAGCGTGTTGTTTCTCAAAACGATAAATAATAAAAATATGAGGGAGTATTTCATAAATCTCTAAATCTAGCAGCACATACGTACCTATATATAATAAGAATAACTAGTACTAAAAATAGTATGCAAAAAAATTCGCCAAAATTAATTACATGCTATTTTGAGAAATTTTTTGATTATTTTTACCATAAAATCAGGCAGCATTAAATGTTCCCTGGAATGATAGGTTTTGTTCAATTCAAATTTAAATTTTTCTTATCATAAAACATTAAATGCTCTCTTAAATGATGAGTTTTGTTCAAATCAGATTTGGAAATTGCAGCTTAAGTGAATTTGAAATTTAAAATTGCTTTTCATTTTAGTTTTAACAGATAACATGTAAATCGCATAATGACATTTTACAGAATATTTATTCGGTCAAAAAGATTTTTAAATAATAATTTTCAATATTTATTCCATGAAATGCAATTGTAATGATAAAAAAAATTTATACTCATATTTTGTTATGTAGCATTTTTTTTTTTATATATTTGCTCGATATCATCTCAATGCGAAACTTATCTTCTCTCAAAAAATTTATTATATTCAAGGTAAATCTTCTCATTTTTCTCAATATATTTTAGCGTGAGATAATATCTTTAGTTAGGCTCATGATGTTTTATATATAGTATTAAACATATGGTTTAGACATTTTTTTACACATTTTTTTCTATATATACATTTTTTTACGCATTGTATTTATATATATTTATATACATATATATATATATATATATATATATATATGTTAAATCTAAATAATTTTAGACATGATTTTTATAAAAAAAAAAAAATAAATTAAAAACTTTTAGGTGACGTCACGTCTTTTTAAATAGTTTTAGACATGTTTTCCTTACAAAATAGTTTAGACAAATTTTAGGTGACTTACATCTTTCAATAATCATATATAAAATTTTAGACATTTTTACCCATGTTATATAGTATTTTTTAGTATTTTAACCATATATTTTTTATGTTCTTTTACACAAGATAATTTATATGGTTTACAACTGATATACGATAAGTTATATTACATATTAACTCCACATTTTAATTTATAATTGTTAGTTTTTGAAAATAAAAATTATAATTGTTAGTATATATTGTCTACATCATCTTTAATTTTATAATTATTAGTTAATATTGTTTACTGTCATCTTTAATTTATAATTATTATTTGATATTATTACCCGTGCATTGCTCGATGCGCAATAGAATTTTTTTCAACCTATTAGGTTTGACCAAGATACGGAAACTTAATCAACCGAAAGCAGAGATGCATTCTTAACATTCACATTCAAAAATCATTCATCTTTTTTAATGGATTATTGATAGTACCTCTGTTCATGAACATATCCTCTGGCATTGGCCATGTTGTTGTAATTAGGAATGGGGACTTGATCATTCTCTATCTTCATGATGTCCTTCTCTAAGGCCTCATAGTGCCGCCTAACTTCATCGGCCGTTTTACCCGTGACATGTCTCGCTATTTTGTGCCACCTGTCGGGCGTGTCCTTCACGTACTCGGCCAGAGCATCCTCGAATTGCTTGTTTTGCCTTGCTGTCCATGACGAGCTCGACGATGCCATCAATCGCCAAATATGAATGTAAATACTTTTAGATTGCAAGTTAATACAAAGG